ATGTTCTGTAAAGAATCTATTCATCTTTATAGTCCTGGAACCACATGCTGTCATTGAGAGAAGGGCATGAAGTGCTTGAGTCTATGTGACAGTATGGGTAATGAAATGACCTAAAGCAGATCTGTCTTTTTTGCAGATCTCTCTCGATATAATGATTTCTTTTTTTTTTTTTTTTTAAATATGTCCCATTTTTAAGTTATTAGTTATTTAGAAAGTTGTGGATGTGCATTTCATTCACTTAGCATTATACAAATGATAAATGGACACTTAGGGCTTCATTTGGTCCATTATTTTTTTGTGTATTATATAGATAATACAGTTAATAATACATAAAAATACAATACATGTAAATATTTGGCTCAACACAAAGGACGCATTACCCTCCTGGATCCCGCAGGACTAACTCTCCATTCAACCTGTCTTTTTGATTTTACTGCAGTTTAATATTTCACAATGATTCTGAAGGGCACTAACATAGTCCTATCTAGAAATGTTTAATTCCCGGGAATATTTGGCATATGTCTAAATTCTTTTTTTTTTTGTTATTTGTTTGCTAACATATGTTTTTTTTTCTTGTCTGTGTAATGTGAAAATGGGAAATAAAAAAAAAAGAGTTAAAAAAAAATAAATACAAAATAATAAAAAATACATGCAAAAATAAACCATGAAAATGTGTTCATGGTTTAAGTTCATGCATCAGCTGCAATTTCCTATGCTGCACAACTTCTGCTTAGATATTTTACCAAATCAGAAATTGTCTCAACTCTCAATTGTATGGGCTTAGCAAAGATTTCTAGTTATTTTAGAGCAGTTTAGGGAAAATACAAGTATAATGTTTCACTTTAAGGCTTTTAGGACAAAAAGCTAATTTCATGGAAAAGAATACATTTTCCCTGGGTTGTAATGTGTCTTAGTCCCTGTTTCAGACTTTTATGAAGGAACTGTAAGTTATATTTCACTAAATGTTGGAATGGATGTCTTATACAGTTTTCCTTAGAGTCCAGATGACTGGAAACAGGTTAAAAATTTGCTCCAGTTTTAACAACATTGTATAGGCGACATAGTGATAAGACCCCAAATTCTGGATATTTGCTGGAATACTATTTGTTCAATTACTGTTTTGTTAACTAGGTAAAAGAGTATTTCCTTCCATGGAAAATATTTTGCTATTGGGGCCTGAAGTGCCCCCCCCCCCAAAAAAAAAAAATGCTGACTCCACTTCTTTTATTAGTGCTTAACTTCATGTTCTCCCTTGATAATTTATATAGCATAGTCTATGTATACTTTTAATACTTGTTCCATCTGTTCTTTCTTGCATGTTATAGAAAACTTGTATACAGTTATTGAGAATAATTGAGAGCTGGTTATGGGTTGACTTCAGACATGATATTAAACCATTCCATGTTTTCATAGCCAGGAGTTCCCTGATGATTCCCCTTTAACTACCCATTAAATAATTTTGATTATCAAGCACAAATTTAAATCCGTGTCAATAGAGGGTTGTAGACCTATTAACAAATAATAATAAATAACCAATATACACGATTCATATTATGTTCCATGTTATCATCAATGTACCCTGTTGCTCTTAATACTTTATTCAGCACAATGAACAAGATCATGCCTAACCATTTTAAGACCAATGTCACTGCATGTCATTATGACAATCTGGTGCAAACCATTACTAAAATTGAAAACTCTGGTTAATTAGTAATGGCTGCTCTATATTACTGCTGTTATTGCATAATTAAGATTTTCCATACAAAAGTAGAGTCTTTAAAGACTAGGTCCTCATGACTGCACTGAATGCTGCTGGGAAGATTTAAAATGCTTATATCCTAAAATAAATGTATGGAAATACATGTTATGTGATCTGCATATTTACATATTGGAATTTTCTGGGTTTAGTTCTCAGTCATTACAGTGAATGCAAAGGTCATAAGAAGTCAGAATGAAACTTACAAATTGTCTGAGAAATTAAAATAGCTAATCACAGTTTTAAAAATGTCTCTATCCCAGCGGTTCCCAAACTGTACAGCATGAGGGGAGAGGAGCAGGAAGAGCTGCTACAGACCCCTCATTCCCACCAGCAGGACCAGGACACCAAGCCACCCTCCTGGACACATAAGGTAAGCTAACAGGAGGGTGGCTGGAGATATTAAAAATGGCATGTGTGTGTGTGTGTGTGTGTGTGTATGTCAGGTTGTGCATCTGTGTGTATGTGCACATACATCTGTGAGTCAGGACATGCACCTGTGTATGTGCATATGTTTGTCAGAGTGTGTGTTTTTATGTCAATGTGTGTATCTGTATCATGGTGTGTGCATGTATCAATGTTTGTGTGTGTCAGGGTGCATGTGTGTGTTTATAGGTCAGTGTATGCAAGTGTTAAGGTATGTGTCAGTGTGTGTGTGTGTGTGTGTAGGTGTCGGTGTCTATATGAATTTGTGTGTATGTATATCTGTGGACGTATGTATGTATGTATGTATGGGGTGGTGTATGTGCATACAGCCAAGCAGTCATACATCGGCACAACATACAAACACACTCCTGCAATCTAACACAAATATTACATCAAAAAACATATCCCTGCATTTAAACTCCAAAAGGATATACAAACACACCCCTTCACTCAAACACAAATAATTCACACAAATGTACTCTAACTTTAAAAGTGAACATTACATTCAGACACACCCCTGCAATCAAACGCAAACATTACGTACATACACACCACTGTATTAAAACACTAAATCTATATACCTAGAAATTTTGACTTGGGGTGCCTTGGAAAAATATTGAAATATTAAAGGCGCCTTGAACCTAAAAGGTTTGGGAACCCCTCTATCCTATGTTTGTTTTTGTTTTCTCGATTACAATTTAGATTTTGAAATATTTTCTATGACAGTTTGATTGCTATTCTCATGAAATAATTGTAATTTAGCAATTTTATTTTTCTGTTTGAATTCTTTGGATAATGTTCTGCATATTGATTATTTATCCTCAATTAAAATTTGGATGACAAAAAGAGTGATCTCCTTACAATTGGCTGCACTGGACATGCAAAGTATACATTATTAACAACCTGCACTGTAAGGTAATCATTTCAGAAGTTATTACTGACAATGTGAAGAAATTCAACAAAGAGCTTTTGAAGCTTCTAAAATAATGTAAACTGCTGACTTGATTTACTAAGTGAAACCTCCCCAAAAACGTCTGGGGCCAGGGAATCTGTGGAGGCAGTCCTCAATGCAGCATGCACAGCTCCAATGCCTAGTTTATGCTAGGATAATGTGACAGATCTAGGAGGCTTTCAAGAGGCATGGCCAAGACAGTGGCACATTGAAAAAGTAAGTTGACTAAATAGAAGCTGGTTTCTCCCAGTATCCTAACAATATTTAAAGGCATAAGCAGCCCAAAGAACCAACAATTTACCACAGTGCACTGCCTCTAAAATAAATAGGATATTCTACAGATACTAAAAAATTGAACAAAACAAAATGCACACAAAATGATTTACATAAGCCAGTTTCAGTATCTATGGTTAATTTTTAATGTTTTCTCCTGTTAAGGAAAAGAATATATACAATGATTTAAAAGCCAGCATGGTTGGAGGCGGAGCCTAGCGTCTGAAGCGAACGGTGGCATGGCCGAGGAGCTCCCAACAAGCCAAATAAACATTCTTACCGACACCCCAACCCACGCCCAACTTCTCCCGGGACGGCCCCGAGACCCCACAGGCACGATGGGCAGGAAAACCAAAAAAGCGAGACCAGACAAGCCTCGCCAGGGCATGGATATCGGAGAGCTATGGAGGCAGGCGCACGATGCTGCAGGAGCCAAGATGACGTCCCTGCACGGAGGCTGCTCAGACTTCACTGACGGATCATCGGAGGATGACGGGGGAGACCCCATGGGGTCCATGCCGACCCAACTACCAACCCAGGCGCAGCCATCCACTAAGCCTCACATCCCTGTCACAATGGAGGTGATCGGAGCACTTATGAGAAATTTGCTGATGATGTGGCCCTGCTCAGAGAGGACATCAGAGGCATCACCAATAGGCTGGGAGCAGTAGAAGCCTCCTCCACCGGCCACACCAACCAGATTGCAGTCCTCCAAGAAGCGACCTACAACAAAAGGCTCGGCACCACGAACAGCAACTCGCCGCCGACGAAGATAAAAATCGTCGGAACAATATAAAGCTAAGAGGGGTGGCCGACACCGTCCCAGAAACCGAACTCCCACATTTCGTTAGGAGATTACTCACAGAGCTACTAACCCCAAAAGCAGCGAAAGCAACTGCATTGGACGGCATATTCCGCATTCCGCGCCCAGCAAAGGCCCCACCAGCTGCAACAGGGGACCTAATTCTCCAATTCCAGTCACTCAAGGACAAAAAAACAGTCCTAGAAACCGTCAGAGGATGGCCCACGTATTCCTTTGAGGGGATGACCCTCTCATTTTACGCGGACCTGTCGGGAGGAACACTGGCGTGGAGGAGACACATGAGCATAGAGAACTGTGTAACGTTGCCGGATCACCTTTGAAGGACTGAATCACAATCCATGAATATTGCTCAGCCGAAGAATTGGATGAAAATCTTGTTTGGGAGCCGGACTGCTCCACGGAAGCCAAGAACACGACCCTCCCGCCGCCAGCCTAGATGGCGACTTCCACACAATGCCCAATATGCCACCAGCTACACTTCCTTTTAGGCCTGTTGCCCACTCATTTTGTTTTGAATGCCTTCTATTTGACTTAACTGTGCATTTGAATTAGTTGTGTGTCGGCAAAACAGCTGGCTCGACCCCAGTGGCTTACACGACAAGCTGGTTTATCTAACATGCAACCACACAGCTGGTAATTAAAATAAGCCCACTGCGATATGCTTGACAGGCAGTCGAGCAGTAATTACACAAACGATTGCAAGTGAATCTTATCTAGCATGTACCTCAGCATATAATTAATATTCAAGCAGCTCCACCTGGTTTTAGCTACCTTATTTGATCTACTCATGTTAAGTCAGTGAACTAGATCCGTAACTATCAGCGGCCAAACACTTATGAAACATTCCACAAGCGCAGCCTTTACAACGGGCACATTACTATAACACTAACTCACAAGCTGACTTAACCTTTAGTTGATAGCGTGTTACAGCATAACAGCCTACACTAGAGCAGCACACCTGCATACACAAGCCAACTACAGACACACTGCGAATCGCAATGCCGCACTACATCTATGTAGGCATAGCTACTCAAGCTTTGTTAAGCGTTAACTATTTTATTTTACTTTATTTTGTTTTATGTTCATCCATCGGTTTCACTATCTAACCAAGTTTGTTATAATGCTATAAAATGTGCAATTTCTCATGCCACTGTCTAACCTTAATCTGTTGTGGCATCTGTCAATTTTAACTTCTAACATGTTTCCTATCTTGAATATATAAAAAAAAACTGTGCTATGTATTTCAATACCATACCTATGTTATTGTATGTTTCCGTACTTGCTTGCACCAGCTATCGTGGCAGTGCAAACATGATTGTTCACGCTATGCTCAAATAAAATAAAGAATGTAAAAAAAAAAAAGCCAGCATGGTTACAACCCCCAATTGTATCATATGGTCAGACTGATCTAACCAGATAAAAAAAAAACCCTTCAATTAAATAAACATCCGAAGTGAAAGGCAATTAGTTTGCTAAATGTTCACAACAGTGTCCTTTTTTACAATGTACTGTAATGAAAAAGTATTCCAAACAGGAAAAGCCTCTATTGGCAGCAATTTCTAACTGTCTATATGTGTGAGAAAAGGTGTTGGCTGAAAGACTTCCTTCCCCTTTAAATATAAAGCAGTTTACAATGAGTCCTTGTATGCTCGCAGAATTATAATAACTATCCTCACTTATACTGATCACCAAACAAAATAAAAATACAAAATAAAAAAGGAAACCATGAATACACTGATCAGCCATAACATTAAAACCACTGACAGGTATAGTGAATAACATTGTTATTGAATATATCATTACCATGCCCCCTGTCAAGGGGTAGGATATATTAGGTAGCAAGTAAACAGTCCGTTCTTGCAATTTCAAGTGTTGGAAGCAGGAAAAATGGGCAAGCAATAACATCTGAGTGACTTTGGCAAGGGCGAAATAGTGATGGCTGGATGACTGGGTTAGAGTATTTCCAAAGCAGCTCCAAATCCTTGTGGAATGTGTTTTGATTAGTACATATTAAAAAAGATGCATGGAAGGACAACTAGTAAACCGGCATCAGGATCATAATTGCTCATGGTTCATTGATGCAAGTTGGGAGTAAAGGCTAGCCCATCTAGTCCGATCCCACAGAAGATCTACTGTTGCTCAGATTGTTGACAAACTTAATGCTGGCCATGATAGAAAGTTGTCAGAACACACAGTGCATCGCAGTTTGCTGCATAGCCTCAGATTGGTCAGTGTGCCCATCATGATGACCCCTTGATTGAGAATGCTGACTGAAGAAGTTTTGGCAGATTTTATTTCACTGGATATTTTGTTAAGTGTATATTTTTATTGTTTTTTATCAAAACTATGAGCTTTAATAAATTGCAATTTGAATACCTTTGGAGAAGTGAATAATTTCTACGTCCCAGGTTTGCAGTTTGTGTCAATCCACAAAGTGACACCAAGCTTTTAAGCTGTAGAACCAGGGATTCAGAGGCTTTAATTAAGGTGAGCTTAACCTAATGTCACCTATATTTTATATAGTAAACATATTGCACCATTTCCCTTTTCTCTGTTTTGCATTGAGAATGGAACATCCTTCTTGAAGCAAGGTGGTGTGCTACCTTGAAAAGCACAACTGTGTGAAAAGTGAGCCACATATCTAGGCTCTATTCCATGTGAGTGAATCCACAGCATTTTTTCCATTTTTACCCAGTGTCCTTACTATCTGTACTAAATGTTGTATTTGTTTTATTTTCCATTTGCTGCTGTACTGATTCCCCCTGGTATCCACATCTTAAAGAGGATACGATAGCCCTGTCATTTTAGCCCTCCTCTATCTTTTATAAGTTTTTCACTTATAATATATTTTATATTTATCAGTTGATCGGTGTGGGAAGGAAGGTTATTCTGCAAGAGTGTTTTAGAGCTGCTATATTTGTCTATTTTTAAGATTTTGTAAGGTGCTTTTTATCACACTATTACCTATTAGAATGTACAAAACATGCTCTAGATGTGTAAATGTGAAATATTCATATAAAGCATAGAATCTGCAATGCTAGTTCATATTGACAAGGTAGAGTAATAGACTTACATATGTCTACTGCAGATATCTCTGGCAGAAATCACATTCCTCCTCAGACCCTATTTGGAAACAGAAACCTATGAAAAGTGCAGAGATGTGGTATTTTAGCTATGGAGTGATAACAGACTAACCAATTTATTCATTTAAATTCTACCATTCTGTGCCTGTGGAAGATAATTTGTTGTGATGGAATAGTTACGTCTTGTTTGCAATCTGCACTATACATCCTCTGTTGCTCTTTGATAAGCTATTGTTGGATGTGCAACTTCTATGAATCTCTCGGCTTGGGGGTAAGCCCTTTGCTCGAAGGAGCTAGACCTCCTGGGTACATAATGTTGAGACAAATTGGAAAGATTTAAAGAGTTTTGTGTAGACTGATCTTTAAGCCCTCCTTGCTGTCTCTGGGTACACTTCTTTGCAGCCTGTTACAATAATGCACATTTGAACAAATGCTTATAATTAGATTAATACAAAAGTAGTAAAGAAATGTGCACCATGATAATAAGAAGCAATAAAAAATCCACTTATTCCACGTATCCTGTGAATCCATAAACAAGGGGAATTGGGTGCACAAAATACAGATCAGGGAAGAGAGCAAGATCACCCCCTAAAAATAATTACTGTTTAAATTTTGCAAGGCTACTTAAAATCACATATCTTAGCAAGAAAATGTGGGCAAATATGTGGATTTAGTGAAGTAGGGTCTCATTATTTTTGGATAGTATTGTCATTTTCTCAGATAATGGGTCCACAGCAGAACACAAATATTAGTCCTCTTCTTGCTTTATTGAATGTCATTGTTGACCTTTTGCTATATCTGTCAAACTTTTAATTATTGGTTTAAATGTCCATCAACTTGATTAGTGAGAAGCCAGTTCTTGGTCTCATGAACATTTCTGCTGGAGTCTGTGTGGTAGACAATCATTGGTATAGTAATCGATACCTTTTACGTTTGTACCTGCTATTGTGTTGCTGTATTTCCTCGGTGGCTTCTTGTTTATTAGATGGCCAGACTCAAGCAAGCTTTATTTCTTCTCTTCATAAAATTATCAATGCAGCATAGTAGTAATAGCCAGTGCACAAATGGAGATACAGCAAAGGAGCAGCTTTTTTGCAGTTCCACAGAAAGGTCTACCTCATATCTATCAGAAGTTCAACAGTAACAACTCACTGAAACATTCCCCAATCAAAGTAAATCCCACCAAGACATAATAGATACCAGCTGTACTATTAAGTACAACACAAAAAAAAGATGGAGTAGGGCTGCGCCAATACGAATAAAATATTCTTAGAGAGGGTAGGAGGTCTTGCTAGAGTAGCAGTAGATAATCAGGGAAACTTGATAAGACGTATTCTCTTCACTGGGAGTGAAGTTTGTATATATGAAACAGAGAAGAGGCAGAAAGCAGCCAATAGTGCAGTATGTCTAGAGTCTAAAAGGGCAGTAAGTAACAAGAGGTAGAGAACTCACATTTAAAAGAGCTATGGCCAGCTCTGGTGTGAAGAGCATATAGCGGTATAATCCCCGCTTATGGAATGTGGGAAGATGTATCCATCAGCACCGTCTGATAATCCAAAGCTTTAAATGAATTTGGCACAAACCAAGTCTATTTGTCTAAAATAATTCCTTTATTCAGTAGTAAAAGTATATTTACTTTTATATTTACTTTTACTACTTAATAAAGGAATAGAGTCGGGATGCTGGTGGGAAGTGGGTAGATGGTGTGGGTCAGTAACTCAAATGTGCATATTGTAAAATATTGCATCCTGTAACTGTTTAGTAAATAATCCTCCTATTCCTTGATCCAAATAGGTAAAATAAAATGTGAATAAAGAATGAATCACTAAAAGATAAAGACCTACAGTGTTATCCACTAAAAGAGAATTCTTGGGGAATCCTAGTGAATTCCAAGTTAATTTAAAAGTTAAAGGGACACTGTAGGCACCCAGACCACTTCTGCCCATTGGAGTGGTCTGGGTGCCAACTCCCACTACTCTTGACCTGCAAGTGTAATTATTGCAGTTTTTTTTATATGCAGGGTTAACTCCACCTCTAGTGGCTGTCTACTAGACAGCCACTAGAGGGCACTTCCATGTCCATAGCACAGGAAACCTGTGCTAGAGCATCGCTGGACGTCCTCACGCTGTGTGAGGACCTCCAGCATCGCTTGATTTCCCATAGGAAAACATTGAAAAGCATTTTCAATGCTTTACTATGGAGAGCTCTAATGCGCATGCGCGGCACTGCTGTGCATGTGCATTAGGTCTCCTTAACCGGCGGGCGGGATCAGTCTCGCCCACCGACTGATGTAATCACTGGGAGGAGCGGCGACAAGCAGAAACCACCATGAGGGACATCGGCGGGGTCTCAGGTAAGTGACCTGAAGGGGATTTCACCCCTTCAGTTACCAGGGGATAGGTGGTGGGAGGGAGAGGGGACCTGCAGTGCCAGGAAAACAGATTGTTTTCCTGGCACTGAAGTTTCCCTTTAAGGCCAAATTAGCCAAATTTTAAGCATAGCTGACTTGGAGATATTTTGCCGTTTGATTATTTTAGCCTTAAAATTTAATTTAAATTTGCTTTGAATCCTTGACAAATCTCACTTTAGTGAATAACCCAGTAATATAGCACATATTCCTGAACCTAGTAACAGAGAACACACTGTGTTTCAAGTAAAAATGCATGATATTATTTAAGTACGCTTGTGTGTATTTCTTCAGAAAATTCCAAACATACACAGTGACCGCTTAATCAAAAGCAGAGGTAAAATGAGTTTGACAACCATATCAACAACCATAGAAATATTTCACTCACTGATATTCCATTTTTTGTAGCAGTTGCACACTATAAAACCAGACTATTCTTCTCCAGGAAAGTAATTATAAAAAAATCACAGGAACAGAATATTTTTCATGGAGGCACCCATAAAATAACCCAACAAGTCCACATTTAGC